CCTGGTGTGTGCCTCGGGGATGATGTCGTCCATCACCACGTACACCATGGCTCCAGCCGCGAATCCCAGCGCGTAGGGCAGCAGCGGCTCCGCCAGCGCCACGGCCCAGGCGCCCAGCACGCCGGCCAGGGGCTCCACCATCCCGCTCAGCTGGCCGTACCTGCCGGAGAAACGGCCGGGAAAATCCCTGGAGAGCTGGAGAGGAGCTGGCACAGCCTTCCCAAAGGGATAACGAGGCTCCCGCATCCCCGGCAGGAGCTCGGACACCGGGCACTGGGCTATGGTAACAGGCAATTTGACCTAATCCAGCTGGATTTTCCAGGCAGGATCTAATTCCTGCCCCCAACAGCTCCGTGGGATTTGGGGATCCAGCTCTCCCAGGCAGAGGAAACCTTTCCAAGCAGCACAGCTCAATCCCAAAGAGGATTGAGCCACAGCCTCAAGTAGAACAAATCCACGTCCTCCCCGCTCCTTGTCTTTCCCTCTAGGATTGTTCCCAACTCTCTGGACCATGGGAATTCCCTTCCCAGCGGCAGAAATCCTGCAGCACTTCTGAGCTGGGTGGGAGGAAAGGAAAAGAAAACTTTGGAGCAGTTTGGGAGGCTCCCCCTGCCCTCCATCCATCACTCAGGGCAGGAACGCGGCTCCCGCTCCCAGGGTTTGTGCCCTTGGCTCCTGCGCCTCAGGGAAAAGGGGAATAAAAATAGAAGTGGGGTTAAAATCCAGCCTGAAGGGGAAGAAAAATGAAGTGATATAAAGATGAAAATAATTATAATAAATATTAATTAAATATTAATAATCAAAGGCAGTGCAGGATCTGGGAGCTCAGCACAGGTGCTGAAATGGGATGTGGGGATTGTTGGGATCAGGGATGAATCCTTGGGATGTGGGGATTGTTGGGATCAGGGATTCACCCCTTGGGATGTGGGGATTGTTGGGATCAGGGATGAATCCCTGGGATGTGGGGATTGTTGGGATCAGGGATTCACCCCTTGGGATCTGGGGATTGTTGGGATCAGGGATTCATCCCTTGGGATCCGGGGATTGTTGGGATCAGGGGTTCATCCCGTGGGATCCAGGGGCTCGGATCTGAGCTCGGAGGGTGTGGAAGGAGCTGGAGAGCTGCAGCACTCCCAGCAGCTCCCCGTGATTCCAGAGGGAAGGCAGCAGCTCCAGAACAAGCCCATCCCAGCTCCCCGATGGAGCAGCCCATGGATACGGGAGGGAAGCAGCGGGCAGGAGGTGCAGAAGGGCTCGTTTTCCCGGGAGCAGCGGGAAGAGCTCACCAGAAGGATTTCCAGGTGGAAAATCCCGCGCCACGCAGAGGCAGGCTGACAGCCAGGCCCTCCGGGAAGTTCTGGATCCCAATCCCAATGGCTAAGTTCCTAAAAAAAGCACAAATACATCTTTTGACTTGTGTTAGGGGCACAGCTCAGCCCAGGACAGGCTGCTGGGAGCAGGGAAAAGGGGGATTAAGGATTCAGTGGAAGTTCTCCCGGCCCCGGGGCTCAAATTTAACAGGATCCCAGCAAATTCCATCCTCCAGCAGCTCCACAGCTTCCATCAGCTCCAGCACCTGCCCATGGAGCAGCAAGGAGCAGAGGGAGGAGAAGAGACTTGTCCTGGGAGGCCCCTGAGGCGATTCCAGCCCGAGGATTCCCGGGAGCAGCGGCATTCCCAGAGCTCGGCATCGGGAGCAGCCCAGGTTTGAGGGAGGGTTGAGGTTCCTCACTCCAGATTTTGCCTTCCCTCTTTTCCCCCTCTCTCATCCCATGGAAAGGGAACAGCCGGACTTGCAGGGTGAAAACCAGCGGAGGGGAGAGCGGGACTGTCCCTCAGCCGTGGAATCACAGAACCCTGGAATGCTTTGGGTGGGATTTTAAAGCTCATCCCACCCCTGCCGTGGGCAGGGACAGCTCCCACTGTCCCAGGTGGCTCCAAACCCCATCCAACCTGGCCTTGGGCACTTCCACGGATCCAGGAGGGGCAGCCACAGCTGCTCTGGGAATTCCCACTCTCCCAGGGAAGGATTTTGTCCTCACAGGGAAGAATTCCTTCCCTGAGAAGCTGCGGTTGGGTCCCCGCTGGAGCTGGCACATCCACCTCCCTCCCTCCCAGCTGGCAGGAGTTTGGGATTTCTGGGAATGTTCCAGGCACCAAACAGGGCTCAGGTTTGGGGCTCCTGGGGCTCCGCACGCATCCCTGCTCCACACCTGGAGCGTTTGCTGGGCTGTGTCGGCAGCACCAGGAGCGGGACCATCCTGGGGGGCTCCAGAGGGATCCCAGAGCCTCTCCCAAGCTCAGCTCCCCCTCTGCCAACAGCTCCCAGCTCCCTCCTCTCACCCCCTCGTTTCCTATGAGTAAAATAAGCCCGGTGAGAAAAACCTCTCGGAGTTGTTTAAACTTCTCCCAGGGTTTGGAGAGGAGGGGAGGGAAGGGGGAGAGGCTCCGGGTTCCCCTGGGCAGGACGGGCCATTACAATCACAAACATTATTCCAGGCAAAGAGAGGGAGGACGGAGGGGGAAAACCATCCCAGGCTGGAAAACACTGGAGCCGCTGTCTGGGCCGGGGTTTTTTTCCCTCCTTCCCTCGCCCGGCACAAAGCGGCTATTGCTGCTCCTGGCCACAACAAATTAACGGGGACGGAGCTGTGAATGGAGGGGTCTGTGTGGGAACGGGGGGAGACACCCCCATCCCCATCCCACCGGGAATCAGGACCCCCACGGGGCAGGAGGAGGGGATGGGACCGGGGGGAGATCCAGGAGAAACCCATCAGGGCTTGTTCCTGCTCTCCTTCCCAAACACCCCCAGCACAATCCATCTGGGACTCCCAAAACCAGGAATATCCCCGGGAAAATCCATCTGGGACTCCCAAAACCAGGAATAACCCCAGGAAAATCCATCTGGGACTCCCAAAACCAGGAATATCCCCGGGAAAATCCATCTGGGACTCCCAAAACCAGGAATAGCCCCAGGAAAATCCATCTGGGACTCCCAAAACCAGGAATAACCACAGGGAAATCCATCTGGGACTCCCAAAACCAGGAATATCCCTGTGAAAATCCATCTGGGACTCCCAAAACCAGGAATATCCCCAGCACAATCCATCTGGGACTCCCAAAACCAGGAATACCCCTGGGAAAATCCATCTGGGACTCCTAAAACCAGGAATAACCTCAGGAAAATCCATCTGGGACTCCCAAAACCAGGAATATCCCCAGGAAAATCCATCTGGGCATCCCAAAACCAGGACCCAGTCCAGCCCTGCAGCTGGGGCTGCAAGGAATGCCCCAGGCCAGGGCAGGACTGGATCCCTTTTCCCAGGAAACCTGGGTGTCCCCATGGTGCTCCAGTCAGGACAGACTGGATCCCTTTTCCCAGGAAACCTGGGTGTCCCCATGGTGCTCCAGTCAGGACAGGGACAGAGGCCACCAGGGGCCACCGCTGTCCCTGCACGTGGAGCCTCCACACCACGCTCAGAACGTCCCCACGGCATCTCCTGCCCGGTGCTTCCCAAAGATCCGCTCCCATTCCCCGCGGAGCGCGGGCTCCTCCCGCCACCGACACCCCACAGCCCGCGGGGCCAGGTGAGCCCTTCCCAGGGACGCTGATCCCGCCGGGATAACTCCGTGAGGAACACCGAGGCCTCCCTGTTCGAGGAACACCGAGGCCTCCCTGTTCACCTTGCCTGGCTCACCGAGGGTGAGGCCACCCCTGTTCCCTGCAGCATCCCGGGAGGATGGGATTCACCTCCAGAGCTCCAAATAAACCCATCCTGAGGATATCCCATCCCAAAGGATATCCCATCCCAAAGGATATCCCATCCCAAGGATATCCCAAAGGATATCCCATCCTGAGGATATCCCATCCCGAGGGATATCCCGTCCCAAGGATATCCCATCCCGAGGAGATCCCATCCCGAGGATATCCCATCCCAAAGGATATCCCATCCAAAGGATATCCCATCCCAAGGGATATCCCATCTCAAGGAGATCCCATCCCGAGGATATCCCATCCCGAGGATATCCCATCCCAAGGATATCCCGTCCCAAGGATATCCCATCCCAAAGGATATCCCATCCTGAGGATATCCCATCCCAAAGGATATCCCATCCCGAGGATATCCCATCCCAAGGAGATCCCATCCAAAGGAGATCCCATCCAAAGGATATCCCATCCTGAGGATTTCCCATCCTGAGGATTTCCCATCTCGAGGGATTTCCCGTCCCTCCCGGCCGTGCACAGCTCACACCTTCCCGCAGCTCCGGGCTGAGGAGGAGGGAATCAAAGCCGCATTGTGTCCGAGGGGAACAAAGGCGCCTTTTGACGGAAATAGGTGGGGATTCTTGGAAGGCTTCCCCCGGCTGCCAGGGAATACATTGGAAAACAGGCACGGACACACGGCCCGGCCCCGGGTGGCACCGGGACACGGGGGACACGGAAACGGGGGATGAGCCAACACGGCCAGAGGGAAAATCCATGGGGTGAAGGGTTTGGGGTCTCTAAAGAGAGGAAACAGAAGGTGGGGTAAGTGGTGGGATCAGATCCCGTCCAGTCGGATTTTCCAGCCCCTGGAGGTGTCCAAGGATGTGGCACTCAGTGCTCTGGGCTGACAAGGAGGGGATCAGGCACGGATTGGATCTTGGAGATCTTTTCCTGGGATTCTGTGGATGTGTCCCGAGCTGTGGCTCATCCCCAGCCTAGGAACGTGAGCTGCTCCAAGGGAGGCACATCCAGGGAAAATCCCACCGGGCTCTGCCGGGGGATGCGCATGGCTCCGGAAACGTCACCCGGGTGACTCCTCCAGGTGGATCCTCGGAAGCATCACGGAACCGACACACAGCGGGTGTGTCACCGCTCCCAGCTGTGCCTCAACCTCCCCGTGTGTAAAACAGGGCTGATGGCAGCCAGGGGACAGCCACATCCTCCAGAACCGCCCTGACCCGGGCACAGAACCCCCAGCTCTGCCCCGGCCCTGCCTCGCCCTCTGCGGCCGCAGAGCAAGGTTTGCAGGAGGAAAAGGTAAATCCATGCCCTCCTGGCTCCGTGTCCCCCGGGACGGCCGGACCTCCTGCCCCCCTCGCCTGCCAACCGCTCCGGCACCACGCTGGGAGACTCCAAGTTCACTTGCAAAAAAAAAAAAAGTTGGCATCTGTGCATATTTGCAAGGTCAAGGCACAGAAAGCCTTCTATAAGCCTAAAGCCTTGTTTTCAAGGGCCTATTCTTTGACGGAGTGATTATGAAAGCAGGCTACATATTCTTAACAAGCCCCTTTTCACTCGGGCTTTCAGTTCCCCCGCAGTGGAGAATGTGCATGTGTATTCTTGCATGGCAGCCCTTCCATACTGTTGGGATTGTTATCGGGGCCGCCGTGAAAGGCCCGATTGTTTGGGGTTGCCGCGATTACATCACGGCTGCCCCCGGGCCGCCCGCAGAGGTGTTTGATCAGGGCTGGCAGGTGGGAAGGAGCTCACGGGGCCCTTTCTCCAGACCTGCCCTACCTGTTCAACCCTGTTCCAGCTGCTCCTGCCCTCTGCTCCGACGCCTCGCGCTCCAGGAGTGCGGAAAAACCAGCCCCGATGTCCCCCAGATGTCCCCCAGATGTCCCCCAGGCCACCCCTGGTGCCTTCAGCTTTTCTCTCGTGTTTCCCAGGTTCTGCACTGCGCTGGTAACCCTGAACTCCACACAAAGTGTCAGCAGGGTCTCCTCACAGCTCAGGCACGCACAGCAATCCTTCTCCAGCCCACAGCCAAGGACACAGCAGCAGCTCTGGGCACAAAAATGCAACCAGAGAATTGAGGAGAGCAGCCTGGGAGGGTGGGACTGCATCACCTGAACTGCACAATTAACCCCAAGGTGGAAATGGAGCCAAAACCTGCAAACCTGGAACCGAACCATTTCCTGAGCAGTGTCCTCGTTCCAATCCATCCCGTCTCCAAGGGGCTGTTTGTAAAGCAAAGGGGGCCCTGGAGCTGGCTTTAAAGCAGATTTTGTTTGGCATCACCCGGTAAGAAAATGGGTGAAAATGGCTTTGCCTTGCTCTGCTTTTCTCCCTTTCATTTGAAGGTGCTCAGGAAGCGAAGGGAGCGTTTTGGAGAGCAAAGCAGGGCAGGAGAAACCTTGGTGGGGAGGTCCTGGAGAGCTCCATCCCACAGGAACTGGGGCCATCCCTGCATCCATCGCTGCTGGGCTCAGCCCTGAGGGAAACGCGGCAGCTCCGGAGCCTCAGTCCTGCTTTGGGGCTCTCCAAACCCCCAGGGCCGGGGCCACCGCAGCCTCCATCCCCACCCTTCCCAAAGAAAAAGCCTGCAGGAACCCCCCCAGCTCCCTAATAAACATCCCCCTCCGGCCAGGCTAATTAAAGGTGTTTAATGAGCATCTT